GGGCCTGTCAGAACCAGAGCCCTCTCTCTTGGCACCTTGCCTCGGGTGTCTAGGAGGGAAACATTCCTGAGCTGTCCCCACCCTCCTCTCATTTGCCCGCTCCTGCCAGTGCCTAAGAGCCATCAACCCTGCAAGATCATGGGGCTCACTGCTGTCCAGGGAGGGCCGGGTCCCTAGCACTTCCACCCAGCCACAAACAGCCCCAACAGCGGCCACACACCATGTCCCTCCCTCCCTCCCATCCTCACCTTCACGCTTCTTGCTGACCCTGTGGCCTCCCCTGTCTTTGCAGGCCTCCTCACGGGACCTAGGCCAGGATGACACCAGCTGGACCTCCGTCACATACACCCGGACCATCAGGCGCAGGCGTTGGTCAGTCACCCGGGTGAGTGTGCATGTGTGTCCATTCCTCCAAGGACATCTAGCCCACACATCACACTCACACTGGGCCGCGCTTGGACAAAGTCATGCAGGGCTGTCTCTGCCAGCCCCACAAAGCAATAGCTCCCACTGCAGACCCTGTACTGCCTTGGCAGGGACAAACCACTGCCAAACAGTCCATCACCCAACGTAATCCAGCTCCATGCCCCCTAGCCACACTTGCCAACCACTCTAACACTCACCACACGAGAAAGCGGCTGGCTGCCCACATGTGCACCTAGGTAGCTCTTGGGCTTTGGCTGCATTGCCACATGTCCCCTCCTGCCTACTCCTGGGCTCACCCACCACCTCTCAGCCCTTGTGCCAGGGACCTAACAGCTTCTGCACCTTCGGTAGGCTTTCCCTGCCCATCCTCATGTGGGAGGCTTGATTCAAGCAACTTAAAGGGCACACACACTATTGCAGGCTCCCAGTGTCTTGTGTGTGTGTGTGTGTGTGTGTGTGTGTGTGGATTCGAATTCGAGTTAGCCTGTGTGTATGGGAGCAGGAGTGCACGTGTGTGCTGGTGTGCAGGTGTATGTGTTGGAGAGAGAAAGAGACACAGACAAAGACAGAGAGACAGAGGGAGGGACAGAGACAGAGAGACAGAGGGAGGGACAGGGACAGGGACAGAGAAAAAACCCATGCCTGCTTTTCCCATGCCCTCCTAAGGCAGTGGGGTTTGTTCTGAGCTCCAGCTCTCCCCCAAGCCTCCAGCGGGGTTCTCCCGTCTTTTTTGAAAATCCAAGCAATTCTGTATCTCCCTAGACTGAAAACGGGCTGCTGGTCCTGAGCCTGGAGGAAACTTCTAGGAGCTGGCAAATAAGGATTACTTCTTCCCAGGGGCTTGTGGACCCAACACCTGGGCTTCTGCAGAGCTGCGGCTCCGTGGCCCCCATGGAAGCACTGTGCTCCAGGCAAGAGGCTGTGAGTGTGACCAGGTGAGCATCATCCTGCAAGGCTCTGGCTGCCATGGGCAAGCCACAGCTCATCGAGACTCTTTCCTGGGCAGGCGGGAGGGTGGGTATGTAGCAAGCACTGGAGGACCTTCACTGTGCTGTGGCCCCTTTGCCTTTTCCTCAGGTGCTCGGTGGCTGGCTGGGTGCTGCTGAGCCTTAGCCCCAGGCCAGATGGATGCCAATGTGGGCTGCAAAGGCCCATCGGGAGCTCTCCCAGAGAATGCTCTCTGATGCAGCTGTTGCCATTGATCAGCCCTGACCAGCCAAGGCCGGTGAGTCCCGGACTGGGCCCCTCATCCTTCCTCCTTGGGGGGCAGGCAGACAGTCTACACAGACCCAGAACCCTCTCTCTAGGAGCCAATTCTGGCCACACCATCACCTCTCCTCCTGCAAGCCCTGGGACACACTGGCACACTCACTGGCCAGGCATCAGCCCTGCCGGTCCATGGGGCCCGCTGCTGTCCAGGAAGTGCCTAGTCCCTAAAGCTTCCATAAACAGCCATAAACAGCCCCGACATTGGCCATACACCATGTCCCTCTCTCCCTCCCACTTTCACCTTCATGCTTCTTGCTCGCCTCTTGCTGGCCATCCCTGTCTTTGCAGACCTGCATACAGGACATGATTCAGGACAACCGCAGCTGGACCTCCATCACATACAGCATCACTGTCAGGCCCTGGCTTTGTCAATCATGTGGATGCATGTCGGTTCCTCCAAGGACATCCAACCCACACAACACACTCACACTGGGCTGGGCTTGGACAAAGTCACGTGTCACCCTCCAGCCCCAGCACTTCCTTGGTAGGGACACTGCTGCCAAACAGTTCAGCACCCAATGTAATCCAGGCCCCCATCTCCATGCCCGCTAGCCACACCACACCTACCCACAACTCTGACACTCACCACACGTGAAAGCGGCTCGCTGCCCACATGTGAACCTACGTAGCTCTTGGGCTTTGGCCCAACTGTCACATTTACCCTCCTGTCTGGTCCTGGGTTCACCCACTGCCTCTCAGCCCTTGTGCCAGGGACCTAACAGCTTCTGCACTTTCTCTGTGCTTTCACCATTCATCATCAGGCTGGAGGCTCACTTTCAGCAAACTCAAAGTGCTCACTTACAGCTGCAGGCTCCCGGTGTGAGTGAGTGAGTGAGTGAGTGAGTGAGTGAGTGAGTGTGTGTGTGTGTGTGTGTGTGTGTGTGTGTGTGTATGAGGATTCCAGCTAGACCAGCGGTGTGCGAGTGGGAGTACATGTGTGTGCTGGGTGTGGGTATATGTGTTCGAGAGACAGAGAAAGACAGAGAGAGAGAGAGAGAGACAGTGAGACAGAGACTGAGACTGAGACAGAGACAGAGAGACAGCGACAGAGACAGACAAACAGAAGTAGAGACAGAGAGAGAACACATGCCTGCCTTTCCCATGCCTTCCTACGGCAGGGAGTTTGTTCTGAGTTCTAGCCCACCCCCAAGCCTCGAGCAGGTTGATTACAGCTTCTTTGAAAAACCAAACAACTCTGCATCTCCCCAGGCTGAAAACATTATGCCGGTCTGGAGCAGAGAGGATTTGTACAACCTATGGCAAATGTGCATGATGATACCGTCTTTGCAGGGGATTCAATACCGGGCACCGGCCCCTCTGCACAGACGTGGGTCTTCGGGACCAAGGGAGGCACTGTGCTCCAGTCAAGAGGCCCTGCCTGTGACCAGGTGAGCCTCATCCTGCAAGGCACTGGCTGCCACGGGCAAGCCACAGCTCATCCAGGCTCTGACCCGGGCAGCTGGGAGGGTGGGTGTGTAGCAAGAACTGCCAGGACCCTCCGCCTGCTGTGGCCTCTTTGACTGCCGTTTCCTCCAGGTGCTTGGTGGCTGACTGTCACCCCTACCTCGGTTTGCTGAGCCGGAACTGGTTCCACAGCCACAGTCCGTATAGACGGAAGGATCGGCTCCTGATGCCCATAGGGAGCTGTACCACAGGGTGCTCGTGCATGCAGCTGTCGCTGCCATTGCGTAGCCCTGTGGTGGTTCGCCCTGACCAGCCAAGGCCTGTGAGTCACCTACTGTGCCCTCTCCCTTCTTCCCCAGGGGCAGGCGGGAGGACTCCCCAGACCCGGAACCCTCTCTCTAGACTCGGAGGCAATCCTGGCCTCACCATCCCCTCTCCTCCTACAAACCTTGTGGCACACTTACTCACTAACTGCCCAACCAGCAGCCCTGCAAGGCGTGGGGCTTGGTGCTGTCTGGGGAGATGCTAGGGCCCAAAGTTTCCAGGGGGCCACACCCAGCCTCAACAGTGGCCACTTGTCATGCCCTTGTCTTCCTCCCTGCCTCCCTTCTTTCCCTCCTTAAGCTTCTTGCTGGCCTCCTGACCCTTCTTCCTCTCTTTTCAGGCCTGCACCACATTGACTACATTGCCCCACCACACGGTGGCAAGGCCTGCCTTCACCTGGACATATGCATCTCTCCTATGGAGATGCCAACTCCCAACCTCCCATTCTGGTTGCATCATCTGGAGGCCACTGAGGCAGAGGCTGCAGGTGAGGGACACTGGCCCCGGAGCTGTTCCTTCCAAGGAAGGGATAGCCAGTCCTACTTACACCCATGAGCCCAGGTGCCTGAGCGAGTGTGCATGCATGCAAGTGCACTCCCACAGTCACATGCAACTCAGGCTTGTACAAGGGCACAGGAGAGTGTGTTGCATATGGGGGCCAGATCTGGAGCACAGTGTGTGTGTGTGTGGACAGGAGGGCTGACATCTGGGAAAGACCCAGAACCATCAGTTGTTGGATGCCTTAGGGACCTCCATCCACCGTGGGCCGCCTCAGGGGGCAGAGCTCGGTCTGCAAGGCAGCAGGCAGGGCCGTGTCCCGACACCAACATGGGCTCTATACCTGCTCTGCTCCTCTTGCAGCTGCGGGGCCAGCTCCAGCCCAGCTGTGCTAACATCTACTGACTGCACTCCGCCAGTGCCACTGGCCAGACCAAAGCCAGCACGACCAATGCCTTCACCACAAACAAGCAGCCAAAGGCCTCTTCACACCACGCCACAACGAAGCCTTCACCTGGAGCAGCCCTTGCCACACCCCTACCTGCCCTGTTCATCACTAATCCTCTCCCTTCAGTACCTAGACCCCCTGTTTATCTACTCTTATTTATTAAAGTTTATTGAAAAAAAATCAAAAGGCACACAATGTCCTCTCATGAAAGTGTGTTTTGCCTTATTTTTGTGTGTTTGCTCTTCCTGGGACTTGAACTCAGGGCCTGGGCTCTATTTTCCTGGGCATTTTTGCTCAAGGCTAGCACTGTACCACGTTTACAGCTCCATTTTGGGGGGTTTGGGTGGTTAACTAGAAATACGAGTCTCAGAGACTTTTCTTCCTGGTTGAACTCTAAATCATGATGCTCAGATCTCAGCTGCCTAAGTAGCTAGGCTATGCCTATACACATGAGCCATTGGTGCCTGACCCATTTTCTTTTTCCAAAAATTATTCCAGGGATGGTATCTTGATCTAGGCAAGACTCTGTTCTTCAAAACTGAGAAACGTAGGAGTAAGGAGTGCAAGAAACACCAGTGTACATGCCAGTGTACCTGCCTGTGTGGACACCAGGTGGACACCAGCTACTTACTCAGTGCCGCTGTCTACCATCTGGGTGAGGAGAGAGATGCCATCCAGGTTGATGAATTCCTGGGCGAACGTGAGATCCCGGGACAGGCTGGCCAAGTCCTTCAGGGCCTCCAGCTTGGCATCTATACTTGACGACTGGATGCGTTCATGGAGCTGCTGGGCATTCTGAGCCTTATGGGGGGTGGAGGTGGTATAAAAAAGACGACAGTGTTCAAAAGGAAAATTACAACATCACAGAAATGACAGCATCCCTGAAAAATAAAGTTCGGCATCCAGAAGCGGACAATGTGTGTGAGAATACCTGATAGCCTGTGTCTCTCACGGACAGGTGTGAGAGTAAGGGCTAGCACACTGACCATCCATTTCACCTTCTGTTTCAAAGAAAAGCAAAGTGAGGTCAGAAGAACACTGAAGACCCAGAAACTGATCAGGGTGGGGGGGGGGGATAGGATAAGGGGTGAGGCAGATATTTACTTTTGAAGCCCAATCATTTATCTAGAAGTAACTAAAAGCTACTTGCTTTGTTAAGCAATCACATAAGTGCAGACCTCGTACCCATCTCTTCAGCCAATACTTTGAGTAATCACAGCCTACACATTATGTCTGAGAGCTTCATTCCCATTTTTCCCAAGTGTATATTTTTCCCATATGTATTTAAAGAATAAGACAGAAAATACTGAAAATTATTTTATTATAGAACTCACTATGATCTTAATGGCTGTACATACACTAGAACCCTATGTGGCTTTTTAAGACACAAGCCTAGGCCATCTCAAGGGTTTCCTGTGTCCAAAGCCTGGGTGAGGTCCCAGAAAGCATGCCCTTGAAGCATGTCTCTAATTATATGCAGAGGTCCAGGGCTCTAAATAATTTTGGTTTTTACATTTTTGTTTTGTTTGTTTTGGTGCCAGTCCTAGGGCATGAACTCAGAGTCCAGGCACTATCCCTGAGCTGCTTTGGCTCAAAGCTCGTGTTCCATACCACTTGAGTCACAGCTCCACTTCTAGAGGCCAGGCACTGGTGGCTCACACCTATAATCCTAGCTACTTAGGAGACTGAAATCTGAGGATGGTGGTTTCAAAGCCAATCCAGGTAGGAAAGTCCATAAGACTCTTATCTCCAATTAACCACCAGAAAACTGGACATGGAGCTGTGGTTCAAAGTGGTAGAGCACTAGCCTTGGGGTGGGGGGGGGGGAAGCTCAGGGACAGCACCCAGGCCCAGAGTTTTAGCCCCATAATGGACCGAAGGGGGGGGGGGGGAGATAGTCTCATGGACTGTCCTGCCAGGGTTAGCTTCAAACTGTGACCTGTGATCCTCAGATCTCAGCCTCCTGAGTAGCTAGGATTATAGATAGGCTTGAGCCACCAGAACCTGGCTTCTAAATCACTTTGAATGTACCCTCTCTGTGTGAAGACTGGAAGAACCCCAGTTCTGTCTCCGAATCACTCCCTAGACTTCCCAGCTGGGGTACAATAAGTCCTGCCTGGTCTATTGTGCAAAGGACATTTTGTTGGCTCTTCTATGTATGTACCTTTCCAAAAGAACTTTTGCTAACAAAAATGTCAATAAAAAAAGAGACAGCTAGGTAGACAGAATTTATACCTAATTCATTCTACTTCAATTGGAGACCGACCAACAGAAACACTTACTTAAAAGGAAACAAATATAAAAGGAGAAAAAAATGCTTAAATGGAAATACCACCTCCACAGAATAGAAGCACAACTCAGCATGGCCACATTACCTACGATTGTGTGTGTGTGTGTGTGTGTGTACCGGTGTATGCATGCTAGTGTCTTATCTCCCAGGAGGGGGAACTCAGCTTGCTAGGTGCATGAACTTTAAATATTAGCACAGCTGAGCATTGGTGGCCCATGCCTGTAATCCTGAAGTAGCAAAATACCTTCTTCTGTGTTCCTCACAGTAATCTTTTCTTAAAAATGGATGGATAAATTCACTTTTAATTCATTTTTATTGTCTATGGGCACAGGTGGCTCACACCTGTAATCCTCACTACTCAGAAGGCTGAGATCTGGAGATCACAGTTCTAAGCCAGCCTGGTCAGGAAAATCCATGAGACTCATCTCCAATAGCTAAACTGTGGTGCAAGTGGTAGAGCACTAGCCTTAAGCAAACGAGTGTTTAAGGATAGTACCCAGGCCCTGAGGTCAAGCCCCAAGGTAAGCACAAAAAAAAAAAAATAATAATGAATTAACCAGGTACCAACTGTTCATGCCTTTCATCCTAGCTATGCAGGTGACTGGGATCAGATGATCTCAGTTCAAAGCCAACCTGGGCAGGAAAGTCCATGAGACTCTTACCTCCAATTAATCACTAAAAAGTTGGACTTGGAGCTCTGGCTCAAGTGGTAGAAAACTAGCATTGAGTGAAAAGGCTAAGGGACAGCGCCCAGACCTTGAATTCAAGCCCCAAGAACCCCTCCACACACACACAAGTTACCATGTGTGACCCATATTTTGTAGTTCTCAATTCAATTTTCAATTTTAAACAAAATTACAGAAAGTAATCTAGCAATTAATGACATTTTCAGATCCCAAATATTTTGTTGTGACATAATGCCCAATTCCAGACTCTGTGTCCATCCACAGAGCACAAGGCAGTGTTTCAAATGCAGAGTCTGGTGTGCTGTCTCAGACACTGTAACCCAAGGCCTGCACACTTGCAGGTCAAAGTCCACAACTGCCCCAGGTTTGGAAACATAAGCCAGTCTTGTCTTGTAGCGGCATCCTGCTTGCTATCTCTACCATCTTTCCATTAACAGAGCTGGGAATGTGAAGGATATTTTCCAAAATCCCTGCTCTGAGATGACAGGTCTCCACAGAGTTAAAATGCTGCTCTGGGGCCTGCTACATGCAACTTATCTCACAGCTTTGCTTTGTTTTCCTTCTTTGGTGTAGTTATTCCAGAACTTTCTGCCACTTAGCACTTGTATAACCCGACTGCAAATGGGAACAGGTGGAAAATTGTACTGAAAAACAGGTTGTGAATAAAAATGAACAAGCCGGGCGCTGGTGGCTCACGCCTGTAATCCTAGCTACTCAGGAGGCTGAGATCTGAGGATCACGGTTCAAAGCCAGCCCGGGCAGGAGAGACCGTGAGACTCCTATCTCCAATAAACCACCAGAAAACCGGAAGTGGCGCTGTAGCTCAAGTGGTAGAGCGCTCGCCTTGAGCTGAAGAGCTGAGGGACAGCGCCCAGGCCCAGAGTTCAAGCCCCACGACCGACAAAAATAAATAAATAAATAAAATAAAAAATAAAATAAAAATGAACAAATGTAAAAAATAAAAAATATAACGCCACCCTGGAGATGCTGTAAACACCACCCTCTCCTCCCTGACACTGAACCTCCTTTCTAAGAGCGACTGAATCCCCAGTGAGGGGAACCAATTCTTTCTTCGGCTTGGAGATGGCCAGAGAAAATGCTGAGCCTTTCTAAGAGGAAACAAAAGACACGGTGTGCACTTCCCTGCCTGGCAAGCAGATGAAGGGCTTTGAGCAGGATAAATAAGAATGCAAAGCACAAATGAAATGCTCACCTCCAAGGGTCACATTTGTATTAATTCACATTAATTTCAGGAAGTCAGACAAAAATGACTCAACCCACAGAAAAAGGACAGCAAACTATCATTTTTGTGAAGCAGGGAAGCTGGCACCGGGCAATGGCTGCAGCAACCCAGTCATTCTGTCTACTGAGCCCATCCCTATGTTTAGGTTGGAGATGTCTTAGGATAAAATACTTACGTCTTGTATGTAAGTTTATCAGCTTTGGTGAGGGGAAAGGGAAGCACAGAAATGCTGGGACAGAGGGTGAACTAACTCAGCAGTGATAGTCACAAGACACTGTGTTGGAAATGAACTATAGAACGTGGGGAATCGGGGCGGGGGGCGGAGGAGGGGAAAAATGAAACAGAAAAAATGAGGGAGGGGGTGACACTGTCCAAAAAGAAATGTAATCAATGCCTGACTCATGTAACTCTAACTCCTCTGCACATCGCCTTACAATACAAATAAAAATTAAAAAATTAATAGGCCAATTTAAATGAAAGCAAAATACTTAGCAGTTTTTAAACCTCTCTAATGCCATTTTCAACAAGATGGATCTGTGGTAGTTATACTCCCCACAGTTTAATTCTAGCCAGATGCTTTCTCCTCCATTTTGAAATTTATTTTTAGCCTATTACATGGCTTGTGTGACAACTGGAAATGATAGATAGACAGTTTTCCTCAACTGTGGGGGTGGAAATAGTAATACTTGGTATATTTTGTGCTGCTTGTGTTTTCTAGGAAAGCAAGGAAATGCAGTGTGGAACAATATGGCTCAAATATGCTAAGGTTACTACCCCAACTAGACCAGGAAACAAGAAAGACCCATTCACTGCCAAGTGCCACAGGCACCTTGTTCAACAGCTTTCACGCGCAGATATGCATGAGTTCTGATTAGCATCCATGAAACAGCCTAAATGGCCCAACATTTACTATTTTAAATCAATTTTTATCCATTTTTTCATCAATTTTCATCATCACTGACCAACACTAGGAAATATTTAAATTCAACCTGTCTTTGTCTTTCTCTCTGTCCTTCTCTTTCCCCCTCCTTCCCTTCTTCCCACCCACCTTTCTCCCCCCCACCCCTCCATAGACTTTAAATAAAGAAACAGCCTGTTTTTGGTTTGGCTTGCTTTGTTTCTCTGAATTTGCTCAGAGAAGATGATAAAAAAAAAAATCTACATAGCCAAGTTATTCATCAGTACTGGAAGAGCTATTGAGATGGGCACCAAACTCCAATTCCATGATTCCCAATCCATTCTCTGTTCACAGTGGAATAGGTTCCTTCCTCCTCTGCCATGGGAAATAAACTGGAGAGACTTCCAATTAAACTAGACTCTGCCCATGAGGACATCCCAGGGACTTTCTGTTTTAGAGTACAGTCACTCTCAAAAAACAGCATTCTATAAGCACATACAGCAGACCCAGAGGGTAGGCAGCTTAAGATGAAATAACCAACTAAGATCAACTTACTGGAGATGTGGTTAATCGAAGGATAGTGCCGTTTTTTATTTCATTGCGATTCTGGAAAAGAAAAGAAAAAAAATTGGGTGAATATTAGAGTAAGAAGAAGCTAGGAAGAGAACAAAACAAATATAGTCAAGCATCAACTCTACACAATAAACATACTTATGATTACATGATTCGCTCACAGAATCTTAACCTGGGCCCCAGATGTGTTCATGTTATATCAAGCTGTTGACAACACTCAGCACCAAGGAAGTAAATTTATTTTCACTTGCAAAAAGTAAGGATGCAGATCCCACAAGTAAAAAGAAGTCAATTTAAACACTAAACTCAGTGAATAGGACCCAGAAATTCCATTCCTATGTTTATAGCCAAGAGAACTGAAAACATATGCCCAAAGAACTGAAAACATATGCCATATAAAGAACATGTATATACATGTGTACAGAAACATTGTTCATTAACCATCTACAAGTAGACCCATGCCCATCTCTAAGAATGAGTGGCCATACAAAATGAGGCTTGTTCATCCATTCACTAGGAAGTGCAAAGCAAGAAGCATTGGTGGGTGCTATAGTATAGATGTCCCTTGAATGTATTACACTCAGTAAAAAAAGCCAAACATGAAAGAGCCCATGTTGTGTGGACCCACATACAGGAAATGTCCAGAAAAGACAAATCAATACATAAAAACAGGAAGTAGATGCATGACTGATAGGAAGGAGAAATGGGGAGCTACTGCTAATGGGTACAAGTTGTTGTTTTTTTATAATGGGATGATGATAATGTTCTGAAATTAATTGTTTCTGGTTGCACAATTCCATAAATACATTTTCCACCAAAAAACAAAAAAAGTACTTTTTTATTTTTTGTCGGTTGTGGGGCTTGAACTCTGGGTCTGGGTGCTGTCTCTCAGCTTTTCAGCTCAAGGCGAGCTCTCTATCACTTGAGCCACAGCACCACTTCTGGTTTTCTGGTGGTTTATTGGAGATAAGAGTCTCAGGGACTTTCCTGCCCAGGCTGGTTTTGAACCATGATCCTCAGATCTCAGCCTTCCGAGTAGCTAGGATTAGAGGTGTGAGCCACCAGCGCCCGGCAAATAAAGTACACTTTAAAGGTATATTCTGGGGGCCTTGGAACATATCTCAATAAAGCTGTAATTTTTATTTCTTTATTGGAGGTACTCAGGGTTCATGCTTGCTAAGCAGGTGCTTTACCATGTGAGCTACACTGCCAGGTCCTTTCTATACTGCTCATTTCCAACATAGCGTCTTTTTTTTTTATAAGCCCAGAGCCCTAGGATGTATCTGGGATGGCAGACCTGCACATCTAGTGTGACCAGCAATGACACTGTCTTCCAGCAGAGAACTCACAGCTTGAACTGAAGGTTTTTGTTTGGAATAGCAGGACCCTAGCCTAAAAATAACCAGTGAAAACCAGGCTAGAGTCATGGTTCAGTGGTATTGCTGCCTAGCTAGCACAAGACCCCTGAGTTCCAATCCTAGTACCGCCAAAAAGAAGAAGAAGAGAAAAAGGAGGTGGTTCCGATTTTGTAGATTCTACACCAGAATCACAGCAGAGATACTGGGGTTGGAGCACTTGTCATCTTCTAGCTGTATAACACTGCCATAAGCAGCAGAAGCGCCCTCTGGCCTGGCCCTCCCCTTTGGAAAGTGGGTATAGCTGGGGCTTCCCCATCTCCATGTGAGGAGAAAAGTTCAAAGCAGTGCCTGGCACACTGCAAATACTCAGGGGGAAAAATAACTTTATTACTAAGCACAAACTAACATCCATTAGAAAAGTACAATGCTGTGACCTTGTATGACCACATTACAATCTCTGCTACCCTACAAAGAGCCACACATACACACACACACACACACACACACACACACACACACACACACACACCTATCTCTTCTGTATGCAGAACAGCATGGCCAGAATGACATTCTGTAGAGCTGCTTTACATCAGAACCTGCCATTCTCAATTAATTTTACCCCATCCTCTTTGTCCCTTGTAGAGGTGCATTTGCTAATTTAGTCCTCCAAGCATTGTGCTCTGTGTGTGCGCGAGCACACATATCCACACATGGAACTCTGTGCATATGATTTTACTTATTTATTTTGCTTATTAGCCATCTTCCCTCAACCTCAGAATGTCACCTCTGTGAGCTGATAGTTTATCCCACTCCATTGTTATATCTATGGAGAATGGTAAACTAGTATAACCCAGTCAACATGCAATAAGCATTGGTAAATAAATGGCAAAGTCTGCACATCAGGCTATAGACAGACAGGACTAAGTTCTATCTTCTGGACACTCAATAAAGTAAGAGAAACTGTCGTGTAATCATTGCATCTGTACCATGAAGGGGTCAGCAAAAAGAAAAAGTGATCAGTATAAAAGAGAAAGTAATCAGTAATATACCAGGCCAGGTGTGTAATGAAGAGACGTGAAGGAGGAGAAAACATAGATCAAACGCTTTTAGTGCAGGCAGTATTCAAGGAAGTCTCTCCCCGGCCACACACAACACTTCCCAGAGAGAGAGGAAGAAGCACTACTACACAGGAAAGCCCAAATACATCATTATATAGCAATGGAATACTATTCACCCAAACAAAGAATGAAATTCTGCCATGTGGCACAACATAGATAGAACTGGAGGTCATTATGTTAACTGAATGAGGCAGGCACAGGACTACAGTACATGGTCCCATTCACCTGTAGAACCTAAAACAACTGATATCTTGGAAGTGTGCATAGAATGGTGGATCCCATAGGCCAGGGGCAGCAGTGCTGAAGGGAAGAAGAAGAAGAGTGATCAATCAGTAAGTACTGTTACAGTTGGATAACAGCTAGAAGTCCCTGTGTGCTAATGCACGGTAGGGCGAATATTTCACAAGAATAGGTAGAAGAAAGGATCTGAGTATTTTTTATCATAAAGAAATGATCAATATGAGTTGGGTGCTGGTAGCTGACATCTGTAATCCCAGCTACTCAGGGGTTGATATCTGAGGATAAAAGTTCAAGCCAAAGACTCTGAGAGACTCATCTCCAATTAACCACCAAAACTCCAGAAATGGAGGTATGGCTCAAGCAGTAGAACACTAATCTTAAATGGATGAGGAAAGGTAAGGAACAGCACAAGACCCTGAGTTCAAGCTACAGTACTGGCACAAAAAAAGGAAAGGAAAGAGAAAAAGAAAAGGGAAAGGAAAGAAAAATATAAGGAGGTAAATATAACTAGCCTACTTTAAACATCATGTTATGTATATACATATAGAGACATCATCCTGTACCCCATAAACACATACAATTTTGATGTTTTATGTATCAATTCAAAGATGAAAATTTTAATTTAAATCTTAAAAATCTGTCCTAAGATTTTCACACACACACAGAATAAGTATTCTAAATGTTGAGGTGATAAAGTCTGCAGTAAACAAAACTCATTTTAGCTCTTCAAAAATGAAGAAAAAAGCAGAACATTATGCAGAAGGATGACAAACAATCCAGGGAAAGGCACCCAAGGCCTGCTGTCATCCTCACACTGCCCGCTGTACCCCCTCCACCGCCCCCACCTTCCCCAGCCATCCACAGGGGCTCTGCATTTCTTTGCAGAAGCAACCCATCCACTCAGCATCCATGTAGATAGCATATAATAACGTCCTGCAGAAAATCGTCACCTCTGTCCAATTTCTCCCCCTCTGAAGTTTGTTCTTCCATATGCCAACTTTTGACCTCATCAGACAAATGAAGAATGGTGTCACCTGGTCCAAAATTCAATTTCTACTCCCCTTACTGTGATTTAGCAATTACAACAGAAATTTCCAGGCAAAGGACATGCCTATGATTTCAAGGATGCAATTCTCTACTTCTCCTCACCACCCCACCCCTTCCACCATCCTGGCCTCCCCCTATCTCTGGGCTGAGAGAAGCCTTTTAGTTTGGAGGCACTGCTATCCAGTAAGTCTTCTTCAGCCACATTACTTAATCATTCCAGAGACTGGCTTTGACTGCAAATCTGCTCCTGTTCACCCCTTCGGGGTCCCATTTGCTTGATCTTCACCCTTCAGGCTAATGAAGCAGTTGAGGACCTTGTAGGATACCAGTTGCTAGGATACAGAGAAAAGCCTCAAGACAGAGGACCACAGAGCTGACATTTAAGGAGGAATGTTAAAAATACCCTAAAATAAAATCTGATTTCCCCAAAGAACCAGGAAGGGGAAAAAGGCAGAGGTGAGTGTGTAGAAGAAGGAAAAAGGAAATGAGGTCAACTCTTGTAAATACTTTTCCTATAACTAACACTGGACCTTTTGGGGACAAGATCTTCACATCATAGTCTATCTATCAGTGGAAGGAAATGTGGTTTGACTTATTTCCTAATTTTTCTTTCACCCTCTCCATTAGATTTTGTTCTCAGTTGTCCATCTCTTTTAATGGTTTTACTGTATAGAGCTCTGAAAAATCCTGTGCTCAATTCTAAAAAGAAAAAAGAAAAGAACGAGACAGGTATTAAACGCTATCTGTTAACCACCCATTATGGTCTGTGAACCCAGAACAGGAATGTGCTTGCTCCCCAATGAATGGATGATCTCTCTCACTCTGTAGCAAGATCAAGTTCAGAATGAAGGGACGGAAGGGGAAGGCAGCTCCCAGGAGTCCAGGAATGGACCAGCATCTCACAAGGCTGACCCAAAGACCATCAGGAGACTGTCCCCTTCTGGGTTTTGATCACATACTTCTGAAGGCAGAGAAATGTTTTTCTGGAGACAAACCAGTTTCCCTTAAAGGAACATGCATATTCATATGTCTTCTACAGCTAAAAAGACAGAACCACCTACTAATTACTCCCTTAGCCAACCTCGCATGACAGGACTGAATAACTATCACCCCTTGTGCTTGGTGCTTAGGTCCATGATCCAAAAGCCAAAACAGAACCTGATTGACGTCCAGATTCCACTAACATTAAAAGATGTATTGACTCAAATTTTTTTGAAGTGACATGAGGTAATTATTTAGATTTGAGTCTTGGCCTTGGATCTAGCCAGTG